GTGGGCTGTGGGGGTCCAGATCTGTGTCCCTAGTTGTGGTGGCCCAGATCCGTGTCCCCAGTTGTAGTCCGTGGTCGCCCAGATCTGTGTCCCCAGTCGTGGTCTGTGGTGGCCCAGATCTTTTTCCCCAGTTGTGGTCCATGGTGGCCCAGATCCGTGTTCCCAGTTGTGGTCCATGGTGGCCCAGATCTTTGTCCCCAGTTTTGGTCCGTGGTGGCCTACATCCGTGTCCCCAGTTGTGGTCGGTGGTGGTTGAGATCCACGGTGGCCCAAATCTGCGTCTTCATGTCCCTTAGTCATAGTCCGTGGTGGCCCAGATCTGTGATCTGTGGTGGCCCAGATCTTGGTCTTCACGTCCCTTAGTTGTAGTCCCTGGTGGCCCAGATCTGTGTGTCCCTAGTCATAGTCCATGGTGGCCCAGATCTGTGTGTGTCCCTAGTCATAGTCCCTGGTGGCCCAAATCTGTGATGGCCCAGATCTTGGTCTCCATGTCCCTTAGTCATAGTCCCTGGTGGCCCAGACCTGCGTGTCCCTAGTCATAGTCCTTGGTGGCCCACATCTGTGGTCTGTGGTGGCCCAGATCTTGGTCTTCACGTCCCTTAGTCATAGTCCTTGGTGGCCCAGATCTGTGGTCTGTGGTGGCCCAGATCTTGGTCTTCACGTCCCTTAGTCATAGTCCCTGGTGGCCCAGACCTGTGTGTCCCTGGTCATAGTCCCTGGTGGCCCAGATCTTTGTGTCCCTAGTCATAGTCCTTGGTGGCCCACACCTGTGTCTTCCCGTCCTTTACTCGTAGTCCGTGCTGGCCCACATCAATGTCTTTGTGTCCCTACCTGTGGTCCGTGGTGGCCCAGATCCCCGGTGTCCCTTTCTCCCCTCCTTCTGCTTTTTGGTGGCCCGTTCTTGGTGGTCACCGGCTTCTAGTTGTTGTTCATGGTGTTGAGGATCCATCCCACGTAGTTGCAGACGCGGGTGTAGACCCCGGGTCGGCCGGGGAGGGCGCAGGTCTGTAGCCCCCAGGACACGATTCCTTGGAGGGTCCCGTTGCAGGACAGTGGCCCCCCGGAGTCACCCTACGGGGAGAGGGGACAACATTTGGGGGGAGGTGGAGGGCTTGGGGCCACCCCGAGGTGGCAACCAGGACTGGGGGAGACCTTCGGTTGTGGTTTCTGAGCTGGAGGACCCGTTGAGGTGGAAGATCTCTGGGCTGGAGGACACGTGGGGTTGGGGGGCCACCAGGGTTGGATGGAGGAGAGCTTGGGTTTGGGTGGCCCAAAGGCAGCCGAAGGTGGCCATCAAGGTGGGGTGGAGGGGGGGGGAGCTTGAATTTTGGTGGCCCAAAAGCACCTGGAGGTGGCCATCGAGGTGGGATGGGGGGGGAACTTGAGTTTGGGTGGCCAGATGGTGGCCACCGAGGTGGGATGGGGGGCAGGGCTTGAGTTTGGGTGGCCCAGTGTTGGCCATTGAGTTGGGATGAGGCCGGGACTTGAGTTTTGGTGGCCCAAAGCCACCTGGAGGTGGCCATCAAGGTGGGATGAGGCCAGGGCTTGAGTTTTGGTGGCCCAAAGCCACCTGGAGGTGGCCATCAAGGTGGGATGGGGTGGAGCTTGAGTTTTGGTGGCCCAAAGCCACCTGGAGGTGGCCATCAAGGTGGGATGGGGTGGAGCTTGAGTTTTGGTGGCCGAAAGCCACCTGGAGGTGACCATCGAGGTGGGATGGGGGTGGAGCTTGAGTTTAGGTGGCCCAGTGGTGGCCATTGAGTTGGGATGAGGCCGGGGCTTGAGTTTTGGGTGGCCCAAAGCCACCTGGAGATGGCCACCGAGGTGGGATGGGGTTGGGGCTTGAGTTGTGGTGGCCCAGAGGCACCTGGAGGTGGCCATCAAGGTGGGATGGGGGCAGGGCTTGAGTTTTGGGGGGCCCAAAGCCCCCTGGAGATGGCCACCGAGGGGGGATGGGGGCAGGGCTTGAGTTTTGGGGGGCCCAAAGCCCCCTGGAGATGGCCACCGAGGGGGGATGGGGGCAGGGCTTGAGTTTTGGGGGGCCCAAAGCCCCCTGGAGATGGCCACCGAGGGGGGATGGGGGCAGGGCTTGAGTTTTGGTGGCCGAGAGGCACCAGAAGGTGGCCATCAAGGTGGGATGGGGGCAGGGCTTGAGTTTTGGTGGCCCAAAGGCACCTGGAGGTGGCCATCAAGGTGGGATGGGGTGGAGCTTGAGTTTTGGTGGCCCAAAGCCACCTGGAGGTGGCCATCGAGGTGGGATGGGGGTGGAGCTTGAGTTTAGGTGGCCCAGTGGTGGCCATTGAGTTGGGATGAGGACAGGGCTTGAGTTTTGGTGGCCGAGAGGCACCCAAAGGTGGCCATCAAGGTGGGATGAGCAC